GCAAAGGAGCCTTTTCCACGCCTTTAGGCCAACTGGGCGTATAGGGCTAGACCTATATTTTATAGACGGGTCAACACTCGGTGGGTGACGCCTTTACTCCGTGATCATCCTTCCTAGATATTTAAACTCCTTACCTTGATTCAAACCAGAACCATTCAGCTGTATAATATTATTTTTAATATAGCTTGGCTTCCAGGTCGACACAACCTGTAGAGTATTGGGAAGTAAAGGCGATCGGCATCACCCATGACTTGTACTTGGTACACATGTAGGGGTTGGTCGACCTCGGATCCACGGTTTTTTTTTTTTTTGGAAGAAAATAATAAGTTCAGCTCCACCAGGACATGAATCCACGATCTTTGAATCGGTCGGCGAGCGTCTAGCCGCTACACTACAGCGGCTCCCGCGTTTCTTGGGTGTATAGTGTTTATTTCATATCTGTATCGACAAATGGGTATTCACATGTTCATGTGGTGAACAACACACAGTAGCTACTTCCCAGGGCTATTCCTTGTATGTATTTTAGGTTGGGTCTATTTGGAAGCCAAGGTAAGTGTTGCAAAATACTCACCTGGACAAGGATTTGACCTTAAAGCTATGGGCTGCCAGACAAGCATGTTATCCGTTCTTCTGCTTCTTCTTCTTCTTCTTCTTCTTTTTCCTCCTCCTTCTTCTTCTTCTTCTTCTTCATCATCTTCTTCTTTTTCTTCTTCTTCTTCTTCTTCTTCTTCTTCTTCTTCTTCTTCTTCTTCTTCTTCTTCTTCTTCTTCTTCTTCTTCTTCTTCTTCTTCTTCTTCTTCTTCTTCTTCTTCTTCTTCTTCTTCTTCTTCTTCTTCTTCTTCTTCTTCTTTTCCCTCCTCCTCTTCTTCTTCTTCTTCTTCTTCTTCTTCTTCTTCTTCTTCTTCTTCTTCTTCTTCTTCTTCTTCTTCTTCTTCTTCTTCTTCTTCTTTCTTCTTCTTCTTTTCTTCTTCTTCTTCTTCTTCTTCTTCTTCTTCTTCTTCTTCTTCTTCTTCTTCTTCTTCTTCTTCTTCTTCTTCTTCTTCTTCTTCTTCTTCTTCTTCTTCTTCTTCTTCTTCTTCATCTTCTTCTTCTTCTTCTTCTTCTTCTTCTTCTTCTTCTTCTTCTTCTTCTTCTTCTTCTTCTTCTTCTTCTTCTTCTTCTTCTTCTTCTTCTTCTTCTTCTTCTTCTTCTTCTTCTTCTTCTTCTTCTTCTTCTTCTTCTTCTTCTTCTTCTTCTTCTTCTTCTTCTTCTTCTTCTTCTTCTTCTTCTTCTTCTTCTTCTTCTTCTTCTTCTTCTTCTTCTTCTTCTTCTTCATCACCATCTCCTTCTTCCCTGTAAACTCTGGCGGAAAGTTCTAGCTGTTAATTCACGTCTGGACTTTTGTCTGGTTTCAGAACTTGAGCTTTGCCTGCACATCAGTTTCATGGATCTGGATTATCTGTATGCAGACTCTTTGTACCTTCCCCTATCATGCAGATGCGCTCAATCTTGAAAGCACCCCCCCCCCCCCCCACCACCCACCCCCTTTCCCTTTTTTAAAAATTTTAAATAATTAGTTGCCTTTATGACATGCCCATATTAGATGGGTTCCGAGGGTGGATTTTTGTATTCCCCAAAATTGAGCCTTGGAACCAGCCTATCTACTTTCTCGAGTTGACCGCTCTCTAACCCCCCCCCCCCCCCCTTTTTCCCCACTAATCTAATAAACTGAAATGGTTTGGGCAAAATGAGAGAATGTCAAATGACAGAGAGGTAAAAACTGTATACACAAGGGAGCTGAATGGTCGTAGACCACGAGGCAGACCAAGAAGACGATGAAAAGATAATGTCTACACATACCTGAAAACACTTGGTGTCACCAACTGGAAAGAGAAGGCCAACCAGAGAGATGAGTGGAGGCGGGTGATATCTGCAGCAATAGACCTCAAGGGCTCGGAACGCTGAAAACGAAGAAGTCTGTTTATAGGTTTGCCTCTATGTTTGTGTCCTATGGGTTTCAGTGGAAAGGTGATTCATTTGGTCCTATCCAACGCCGAATACTTTATCCCACCTTTTGATTCGTTAAGTATGTATTGTTACTTTCTTACAGATAAATGACGACAATGATCATCTCGTTATCCAAGCTATTTCATGTTGCGGGATTATATCTCTTCCTGATTATTTCAGAAATCTGAGGCTGCAAGATGGCGTTCATAAGAGCATCTACGGCCACCATTGCTTGCCTGTACACCCACTTCATCACCTTCGTTGTTGTCGCTGTCTTTAACTTCACCGTCATCGCCAATGCACTGCCTATCAACTTGGCTTTTGGATTTGCCCTCGTGGGACTTTCATTGATCGGGCTCTTGTTGGGTAAGTTGTTGTTACTTGCATCTTTCTGTCTTTCCAGACGATAATGTTATACTGTGCGATGGAGAGGCATGGGGGTCACAGCCCATGGCGATGGCGAGTGGGACTAGCAAGACTCGCCAGCGTTAAGGAAAGCTTTTCACAATCAAAGCATGGGATTTCAGGACCACAGTTGAAATCTTATTTATTCAGTGCGCTTCTTCTCACATGCTTAGCTCTCGACCTTAGTTAATTAGTTAGTTAGTTGGTTGGTTGGTTGGTTGGTTGGTTGGTTGGTTGGTTGGTTGGTTGGTTGGTTGGTTGGTTGGTTGGTTGGTTGGTTGGTGGTTGGTTGGCTCTACGAGATTTAAGACTTTTGCGTGAACCAGTTGAGAACTGTGAATCTGCAACCATGGTCAGACTGTAAGAACAGCAAGTTAAACGGGGTGTCGCCAAACAAGAACACTGCGCGGGTAGTCAAAGAAGAATAATAAACCAACACAGAACTGGTGTCGTCACTGAGGAGGGGATCCGAGCACTCACGGGCTGAGTGGTTCGACGTACAATGAGGAGACTGCCGAATAACTAACTAACTAGAGTTTTTGGTGAGTAACTGAAATTAAAGGACCATTTGAACACCCTGAGGGGTACTGGACCTGTGGTACCGGTACCGTGTTTTGTACAAACCAATACAGTGAATAATTAAATGGTATGACATAATTATTAACGTTAAGCTTTGGGACTTAACTAAACAAATTCCAGTGAATCAACAGGTGAAGAGGAGACGCTGGCGTTGGATACGACACACATTGAGAAATAAAACTATGTAACTAGAATGTGTTTGCAATGGAACCCACAAGGATATAAATAAAGGCAGACTAAAACATACAAACACACGGAGAACTAGAGAATCAAGTTTAAAATACAGGGAGGACACTGAGTGAGTTGTGTGCAATAGCTAAGAATAGGACGGATTGCCGTGAGTTGGTTAAAGGTCAATAATCCATCGGGGTCTAAAGGGCAAAATAATGAAATAAAACTGGCCAACGTCCTACCAGCCCCCATTCTCCGCATACAAGGGCGCTGGAATCTGGTAGCTTACCCATCTTGTATCCTTCTTGTATTCCTCACTTGTATCCCTCCCTTGAATCCCTTCTTGTATCCTTCTTGAATTCCCCCTTGTATCCCTCCCTTGTATCCCTTCTTGTATCCCTCCCTTGTATCCCTCCCTTGTATCCCTCCCTTGTATCCCTCCCTTGTATCCCTCCCTTGTATCCCTCCCTTGTATACCTTCTTGTATCCCTCCCTTGTATCCCTTCTTGTATCCCTTCTTGTATCCCTCCCTTGTATCCCTTTTTGCATCCTTCTTTAATCACTCCCTTGTATCCCTTTTTGTATCCCTCCCTTGTATCCCTCCCTTGTATCCCTCCCTTGTATCCCTTCTTGTATCCTTCTTGTATCCCTCCCTTGTATCCCTTTTTGCATCCTTCTTTAATCACTCCCTTGTATCCCTTCTTGTATCCCTCCCTTGTATCCCTCCCTTGTATCCCTTCTTGTATCCCTCCCTTGTATGGCCACAGAGTCTACTCAGGCTTGTCTTTGTATCGACTCCTATGCTCCCATTACAAGGTTAGGCTGAAATGAGGTGTTATACGAATAATAATTATTCGTGGGTAGATATGATTACTAGAAATGAAATGTCTATTACGAATCCTAGATGTAACCAGAAGAGATAGGGTCAGAAATGATGATGTCATTACACACACACACACACACACACACACACAAAGAACGTTGAGGGGGAACTAGTACTAAACCCCATCAAAAGATAACCGATCAAATGGTCAGACATCTGTCGACCACCACCAGCTAGTGCAGCAAAAGGAGCCCTGTCACTTACACATAATGGAACCAGATCTAGAGGTTGACCATGCAAGCGATGGAAAATTAGAGGCCTTAAATACCAACATTTACGTAGTACACAAGGCTCGCATTCGATACCACTTCAAAATCTGACGATGAAAGGCAGAACAGGACTAGAGAAGAAGAAGCAGACAAAAGAAGAAGAATGAGAGGAAGAAGAAGAACTCTGACTGTCTGCCTGCCAGTCTGCTTATCAAAGTGTTTGCCATTGTCTTTCTATATCTATTCATCCAACAACCAAACTACGCTTGTTTTTCATTATCATCATATTTATTATCATTATCATCAACATCACCAAGTGCCTTGCCAACTGGAGTGATCGAACATCTCTCTCCAGAATCTGCGATCTTCTACAGCACATATCAGTTCATGTGCTGATATCCCACCATGCTCCTTATTGAACGATGTGATTCCATTAGAGCCCACATTAACGTCATTGTCTAAAAAAAAACAGAGTGTATAAAGGCACAGTTTACTAGGGAAAATACGGTTTGGGCTTTCTGTTGCCTTCAGCCAGTTTGTGTGTAGTATGACTCCAATAGCCTTGGTCTACACAGACGTACCCTGCAAGACAGCAGAAGAGAGAGGCTATGGCGCCTTTTACCAGCCGATAGTCATGTCACGGGGTTTTTTAGGTATGATTCTCAATACACCTTGCATATTAATTAAATCATCTAATGAGGTAATGTTCATTTCTTGCAGGCATTACATCACAAGACCCTGAGGAATCCGTGCTACGATCTCTCCTGATGTGCATCAGCGCTCTCTGGACCGCAGTGGGCCTGTTTCATGTGGTTGAGTTCTTCACTCCCCAGATCATCGTCGACGATTCACAGGCACTGTTTGCTGGCTACGGGACATTTCTCCTAGCCTTCTTGTTCTTCACAGCCGGGGCTTTGCATCACAAAGACAGAGTCAGTGCTGTTCTATCTCTGGGGATGTTTCTTTCTTGCATTTTCGAGATTTCGGCTTTGTGGACTCCTCTTCGAAGAAGTGCAGCTGCCTACTATCTTCTGTTGTCTTTGGTGACTCTGTATCTCCTAGTCTCAAAGCTATGGATTCGTTTTAGACAGGGGGAACAGAAGTCTAAAACATCTAGAGAGTTTGTTAAACCGTCTAGGGATTATATTCCAATGGGACATCTTATGAATACATTGGCTGCAGCTGTATATGCAGGGCAAGTCACCGGAATCTACAACCATGTTTCTCTTGCATTCACTTGGATCATTGTTGGGGGCTTTTACCAGCTCGTTGCCTCCGTTGTTGCTGTGAGAAGAGGGGAGATCTATAATGGTCTGTATTTTATTTTCCATGGAACTTTCTGGATCACTAACGGTTTTAATTTGTCGGTGGTTTTCGTAACGTTGCAGAACGTTCCGTTGACCATGATTGCCGCAACAGTCATTCATTTCATTATATTTTTTATCATCGCGATAATCTCTCTCACAAAAGAAATTTATCAGCTTCCTCAAAACATAGCTTTGTGCATTCTTTGTGTGGCCATTCAAGTCAATGACAATAATGCGGGAGCTTTTCTTGGCGCTATGGGCTGGATCCTGTTCGTATTCTCATTATACGGACTTGCAGCCCATATTTCTAGGTTGAAGAATTCCGGCTTTAAGCTTCCTTTGGGTACACGTCTCATTGACCCTGACAAGATTGCAAATTATTTGGTCTCGGCTTGCAAATGTTGTTGCTCCCATGCTAGAGCTGTTACCTCCAAAGGTTCCAGCGATCTTTTTACTAGCGATTTCACGCTTGGTTATTCCAGGTACGCTGGTTTTGATCTAGCTGGATTTGCTCTAAACGCAATTGCTGCAATAGCTATTCTTTGGACACCACAAGGTCTGTGGGTTCTTCCTTGGGCGGTGATCCTTGGAGGCCTGGCTCAGATGATTGTAGGATCCATTTGCTTTTCTAAAGGTCTGTCTTTTGAAAGCTGTGCTTTCTTTACATTTGGCTCAGTGTGGCTAATATGGGGTCCAGCACGAGGTTTGGCAACCTTAGCCCAAGACAACACAGCAGCGGCTATTACTGGTTGTGTCGGATTTTTAGCCGTTGGTTTACTGCTGTTCGGACTCTCTACCATCATAAACAAGGCTTGGACGGTTCTCACATTTTTCTTCAATTTAGTCATCGTGGGGATCCTTTTGCACACAGTCAATGCTAACGGGTCATTTATTTATGAGATCGTCATCAATGTGCTTTTCGTGATTATCTGCACTTACTGCTTTGTCGCTACTGCCCTGAAATCAGTTTGGGGCAGAGAACTCCTTCCGCTAGGCAAGCCTTTCTTACAGGTCAGCTATCTCCACTCACAAGGCGAGCAGGCTTTTTGGGCTGATGGGCGGAAGGCTTCGGGAGTCAAAGCAATAGCAGGTGAGATTTGTAGTCTACTATAGATTAAATGTGTGAAAAGTTGAAGGGTCGAGGGAGACACAGAAGAGAAAATACCAAGCGAGCGCGTAGTCGCTACACCATGGTGGAAAACCCACGACAGCGGTTTAAAAAAAATATATATATCAATAAACAATCTGGTTTGAGAATTGAACCATACTACTCGAGGGAACAACTCACAAACTCGGGCCCAGGTTCCGCCCCCTTACACACTAGGTCACTTTTGATTGTTGTTTGGTCAGGCTCGTAAACTTTGCTCAAGGTTACAGGGGTGTGCTGGTTTACTGTTTGTTCGAAAAGCTTTCTGTGTTGTCTTCTATTTACGTTTTCATTCACAGAAAGAGAATACGTGGGACGTAGGCTGCAGCACCTCTGTAATCTTGAACAAAATTGACAAGCCTAACGAAGAATGAATACAAATTGACCTAGTGTGTAAGTGAGCGGAACCTGGGCTTGGAATCGTGAGTTGTAACTACTAGAGAACCGTGAAGCTGATTTACGCATTCACTAACATTTAAGCCTCCAAGCGGCAAATAATGAGTACAGCGTGAATCATATAGTATGTTCTACGAAGCAAACAGAACGTTCGTTCATGGCATGCAATTTACTCATATGGCAGCATCATCTAAACAGGTCCCTACCCCCTCCCCCCCCCCCTCCTCAAGAAAGCGTTAGAGTTGTTGATCAGACAGCTTGTCACACATAGTTAGCCATTCTCCTCAATTATGACTTGAGAACAAAGAACAACTGTACTGTTTCTGCCTTGCAATTCTACCGTTGCTTCTGAGTGTAGATATAGCAGGACCTTTGCAGAACGTCTGAAAGAAACTTGGTCTTTCGCCAGCTAACCCGCTTCGTGTACTTTTATATACAAGGAGTCACTTGTATTTTGTGCTCATCTTCGTGTTGGTCGGCCCCTACCTCTCCTTCCTGGTACCATGCCTTTGTTATTACTTTTTCCAATCCGCTATGCGGTTTATAGGACCAAACTATTGCAGCTTCCGAGACAAGATGATGCTTATTAGACAATCTTCCTTGACGTTCAAATTTTTCAAAATTGTTAGCATTTTTCTCTTCTTTGTCTGTAGTATTCTGAGAATCTTCCAAAAGCACTTCAGCTCAAAAAGCATGTCTTTTCTTTCTTAAGGACTGGGAGATAGTCCACGAAAGTTTATCCCTGTGTTGGTACAGGGACGATGTATGCTCTCAAAATTTCAATTCTGATTTCCTTGCTGGTGCCTAACTATAGACTTGTAATGTTGTTTAATCGTATAGCATACATCAACACAACATATATATATATACTCGGTTATGGATGAGAGTCGTGGACTCTTACTCAATCATTGAAGACGAAACAACAGTTGGGGCTTTCGTAATAAAACGCTGCAAAACAAAACCAAAAGAATACCATGGACCAAGAAGGGAAAAACATCGGCATCCTACATGATGTTCGCTTTGAGGAGAACTGGCTCATAAACAGCATCCTGTCTCGAATGCTGGGGTATTTTAGCCACGTTAAACGTCATGGTGGTTTGGAGAGAGAACGGCGATGGAGGGCACAGTTTCCTGAAAACGAGACAGAGGCAGACTTACATGAAAGTAGTTACAAGACACTGAAGATGTATTGGCTATGAAAGCACATTGGGCTGTAGAATTGGCTAGAGACTGACTTTCCGGCGTACCGTGACGAGAGCAACGTTCTGTACAGAACGTACTGTTTGACGATGATAGCGTACATCTAAATATTACGGTACATTTCTAATTTTAAAAACCTAGCAATCCGACCAGAGCCGCCATGATCTAGTGACAAGACGCTCAGCTGCGCATCGGAAGGTCGTGGGTTCGATTCCTGACGAGGGACATATTATATTCAAAAATGACTTTGGCTCCCAGGTCGACCCAGCCTTGAGTGGGTATCAGGTACAGTCCTGGGAAGTAAAGGCGGCCGATGTGATGCTGACCACATCACCTCCCAAAAGCCGATTACTCTATAAAGTACAGGTCTAACCCTATATGCCCAATACATCTGAAGGTGTAGAAAAGGGTCCTTTACTTTACTCACTCTGTAGTCGTTTGTTCGAACTATGAGGGAAAATATCGTTATTTTGGTGTTAATTGATTAGAAATACCAGACCACCCCAACCTGAAATGTGTTCCAGAAAAAAACATGGGAAATAAAGGACGCCGGCCTGATATTGTCGACATCGCTAATCGTCTTGTCTAAAAAAAATATGGGCTTTATACAAGACACTAAATACAAATAGAGGCGACAAAATGTGGTCAAACAAACATATCGCTACATATTTCAAAGTCTTTGTTTTAATCTCCTATTGATATTCTCACTGAGATCAAAGTCACTACTCTAAATGTCTTAAGCTGACGATTTGAACCATCGACCATACGTTCCTCAATTATTTAGGATGATGGTTAAAGCGTTTCTTGTTTTGTATTTACTCTTAGACATTATGAACCGTGGAGGAATTTGTGGCATTCCAACAGACACTGTCTACACCTTGGTAGCTGCTTGCAAGTTCCCAGCATCAGTTGAGGTAGGATTACTCTGTATAGTTATTTTAATGGGAAATAACGTTTTTAGTCAGTGAAAGAAAAGTACTGGAAAACACCTTTAATGAACAGATCGGCGGTAGAGACAGAGCTAACTTGAGAGAGATAATACGAGTAGTAGGAAGAGAGTCAGATCTTCCTGCATTTCAGTCTCTGAGGATTAATTGGAGGAGGGGGAGGGGGTGGTTCTATGGCTTTGAGTAGTGGCTTCGGGAAGGTTTGCAGTGTGGTTTTTAAAATCGCTTCATGTCGGTTCGTTAGCTGAGGGTTTATTGTTGGCCATGACTTTAATACAGCAAAAATAACATCACTGGAAATGGGGCTGGTGTCGTGTCGGCTTGTTAGCTGAGCGAGGTCAGTAGGTTATGACTTCCTATAGAATGAAAAGAGAGAACTTGGTCAACGGATACTTCTGGAGTATGAATTTTTAAATAACAAGAGTTGCTCCCCTAGCAAAGATGGAGGACGGTTGCTTCGTTAAGTGGTGTACATTGATGAATTGGAGGAAGTTGGAGTGTGTCCAGGTAACTTGGGTGGGGGGGGGGTGGCTCCAGTGAAGATAGGGGTGGCTAAAGATGGCGACTTAGATGTCGTATAGAATCAAGTATGAATGACGTGTAGATAGTAAAATCTAACAGGTATACAGGTTATATAACCGGTGGCTTTGTTTTATGCTGAATATAAGATTACCTTTTTATTGATTTAATTTATATTAATATAATTACGTGATACTTAAAAAAAATTAAATCAAAATTTAAGAATTTTAAAAATTTTTTAAAATGAACAAATGTAAATAGTTTATAAGTTTGCAAATTAAAATGTTTTAACATTTTTTTTTTTTTTTTTCAGTTGTAAACATTTGCAAATGTCTGTAAAGTTGAATATTTTTTTTTAAAGTTTTAAAGTCTTCATCTAGACAACTTTTCTTGTCAAGTTAAACACAGTAAAAAAAAGGTGGACCACGATCTTGCCAACTTTTTAAATCAATACTTGTGTTAAGTTTCCTCGCGGTGACCATCTTAACAACTTTCTAGTCCTCTATTTTCGCTGTTTTTCCTTATGACACAAACTATCCCTGGGCAAGCTTACCAACTATTTCTTACGAAAGTGGCAACTTTTCTTCAAGACGACCATCTTGATAACTTTCTAGTCCTCTATTTTCTCTGTTTTTCCTCAAGGCACTAGCTGTCTCTAGGCAAGCTTATCAACTATTTCTTATGAAAGTGGCAACTTTTCTTCAAGGCGACCATCTTGATAACTTTCTACCCCTCTATTTTCGCTGTTTTTCCTCAAGGCACTAACTGTCTCTAGGCAAGCTTATCAACTATTTCTTATGAAAGTGGCAACTTTTCTTCAAGGCGACTATCTTGATAACTTTCTAGCCCTCTATTTTCGCTGTTTTTCCTCAAGGCACTAACTGTCCCTCGGCAAGCTTTCCAACTATTTCTTATGAAAGTGGCAACTTTTCCTCAGGGCGACCATCTTGATAACTTTCTAGTCCTCTATTTTCTCTGTTTTTCCTCAAGGCATTAACTATCCCTGGGCAAGCTTACCAACTATTTCTTATGAAAGTGGCAACTTTTCTTCAAAGCGACCATCTTGATAACTTTCTAGTCCTCTATTTTCTCTGTTTTTCCTCAAGGCACTAGCTGTCTCTAGGCAAGCTTATCAACTATTTCTTATGAAAGTGGCAACTTTTCTTCAAGGCGACTATCTTGATAACTTTCTAGCCCTCTATTTTCGCTGTTTTTCCTCAAGGCACTAACTGTCCCTCGGCAAGCTTTCCAACTATTTCTTATGAAAGTGGCAACTTTTCCTCAGGGCGACCATCTTGATAACTTTCTAGTCCTCTATTTTCTCTGTTTTTCCTCAAGGCATTAACTATCCCTGGGCAAGCTTACCAACTATTTCTTATGAAAGTGGCAACTTTTCTTCAAGGCGACCATCTTGATAACTTTCTAGCCCTCTATTTTCGCTGTTTTTCCTCAAGGCACTAACTGTCCCTCGGCAAGCTTTCCAACTATTTCTTACGAAAGTGGCAACTTTTCTTCAGCGACCATCTTGATAACTTCTTTTCAGTTTGTACATGGTTTTTATAACACAAGCTCACTTTTCAGTTGGGAGCAACGTTCTGCAAAGTACCTGCTACATCATGATGATGATGAAATAGTTTGGTGCTATTTAACTTATCAAATGAGGAATTGATTCACTACCATGTCTACTATTTTCCACTGATCTTTCCAGTTGTCGCGATATTCTCCAGTGTCTCTCTTCTCATGATGTGGCCGAAGAACAGTGTTTGTCTGTTTCTTATTGTTGTTTATAAAGGTTTACTTTCATTAGCCTCTTTCAAACAATCGTTGCTAGTTACTCCTGCCGTCCAAGGTATTCGTAACATTCGTCTCAGAAACCACATCTCTGTTGCTTCCAAATTCTTCTCAATGTGTTCATTGACATTCCAAGATTCGCTGCCATACAGCAGAACAGGTTCTACGTAACACTTTAGCAACCTTTTTCTGACATTAAATAAAAGCGATTTATTGCATAACCTATTTTTCATTTTCTGAAATGCAGCTTTCGCTTGACCTATTCTGCTTTTAATCTCTGTCACACATTTTCCATCTGATGATATGATTGTTCCCAGATATTGCCTGACATCTCTTCTTCTTCTTCTTCTTTGCGTTCGGTTTCGTATGCTCAGATCAGACCATCGGGTGGGCTGCCTCTATGAACTCGCATGTCAGCTGCAGGTCCTGCAGGGTTCTCCATAGCCTGCTCTGCACACTTTACTCTTGAGGCCAGGTGTTTTTCCGAAGTTGTAGGTAGAGTGGGCAGGTCTGCAGAATGTGCTCAGGTGTTTGGGGTCCTGTTTTTTATGCATGTGGTAGTTGAGCCTGCAGTGTCCTGTTCGTAGACGGATAATTGTTGTATGCTGCTTTCTCTGATTCATAAATTATGAATGATTTTATCAGAGAGCCTACAACACGAAGAAGCTGGCAGAAGATCGTCCGATGTCTATGTGGATCTCCAAAGTAGATCAGCTGGCAGCGGGAAGACCTCTCTTTGGAGAGCTAGTTTGGGGTCTCATGAACGAAATTTGGCCATCAACTGTTAGTCTTGTAGTGCCCAAAGGTTTGTTAGCAGTTTCTGTTACTGTCATTGTTGTCTTATTTTTAGATAAAACGCTCCTAGCAGTCAAGATGACCCAGCATTCTATATCCAGCATGTAAGTCAAATTCTAATTGTGGAAACTGTTTTCCCCATGGAGATTTCAGGTCCCCATTGTGCGTGTGTGTGTGGGTGGGGTGTAGAAAAGAACATACACACTGCCCCTCCCCCTCCCCCATAAAAAAGCAGCGGTTCTCAACCTATGGATCGCGGCCCTTTTTGGGGTCCAACGACCCTTTCACAGGGGTCACCAAAGACCATAGCAAAACACTTAAATGTCTCCGATAAATGTTGAGAATACCCTGGACAGTTTTTAAAAAAAAAGTAATGAAGAGGTCTTGAAAGAAACTTACTCACGAAGAGAACGGGTTGCCCACATCAGAGAGAGACAATCTACATCCTTTGCTCGTGTGATGAGAAGAAGAAAACTGGAGCACATCGTGACAGCAGGAGAGTTGGAGGGAAAGAGGGGCAGAGGGAGACCGAGAGAAAAGATACTGGGCAATTTGACATCATTGCACGGAGGATCATCTGTGTCATAACTGACTGCACATACTCAAGACCACGTCCGACTCTGTTACTAGATTACGAGATTATCAGCTGAAGTCGGACGTGCACGAGACAGAAGGTTGTGGATAGACATGACTACCAACGCCACACAGCATGGACTATGGAAGATCATATGTGTCAGAATGCATGACTACCAACGCCACACGGCAAATAACGATTTCTCTTTGCTGGGGCTACGGATTCAGGTTCATGAAACCAGTTTTTAATCTTTTGGCCCTTGAGTGAATTTTGTTGAAAAGCCTAGGTCAAGGCCTCAGCGGTAGGGGTTAATGGCTTTACTGTCTTAGAGCAGTGATTCTCAGCCTTCTTAATGCGGCGACCCTTTAATACAGTTCCTCATGTTGTGGCGACCTCCATCCAGACAATAATTTTTGTTGCTTCTTCATAACTTCATATATGTGTTTTCCGATGGTCGTTGGGGACCCATGTGTAAGGGTCATTCGACCCACAACAAGGTCGCGACCCACAGATTGAGAATCACTGTCTTTAAGCCTCATCAAGGTTAGATCCGATCCTGGATATACACATGACCGACTCGTTTTACTTTTCGTTTGGGTTCATATAATTTTATGATATTTTGTCATGATATGTCTATATTTGTGTGAGAACCGCTGACTGTATGTTTCAGGCGAATGGTTGCAAACGCTGGGCATCGGAGCATCAGAGAAATATATTGGCAGGCCTGACAGCATAGCTTGTCGTATGCCGGACAACACGGTGACGTCAATTCTGGTGGATCAGACGGGACCAATCGCTGTGTCCTCGGCCAATCCAACCGGCGAAGCGGACACGACTCATCATCTTCAAGTGCTGGCCAAACTGGGGCTTGAAAATGTACGTATTCTAGATCAGGGTTCATTAACTTTTCTCCACTCTGAGACCTAGTAAATAGGAAATACCCTATTTACGAATGCATCGGCCGCATTATTTTAATCGAAAATAGTTGATAAACAAATAAGGAACGGGTTGTATCGAGATAGTAGGTTTATATGTCACTTTCCATGCAGCCACGATCCACTCACAGAACTGAGATAATGAGGCTGTCGAAGTCACTCCGGTCGAACTGCATCTTCAGTCGCGACAAAAACGCCACAAATGAGCCTTAAAAGCTCTAATAATGGAAATGTCGAGTGTTTTAACAAACCGTCATCCCTCCAGGTACCATAATCATACTGCGCTTCTCTTGTCGCAACGTCTCCTCCACTTTTGTCTGCTAAATGGCCGCAGAAAATATCAACGATTAGCTTACGCGGTCCATCTTTCCCTGCTTACGGGTACTACTATACAAGCTAATGCTCGACGTTTGGTGCAGGAGAGCCTAGCATTTGATACCACAACATCCACTTAAGAATGGAGATGGAGGCGGTCACTGCAGCTTTCCGCTGGCTATAGAACACGACACACACACAAACACACACACACACACACACACACACACATCGTCATTGCAACTAACTCAGAATGCATGCTGAGGAGGGTCAGGACAGGCATAATTCCTGCAGAATGACATGCCTCGCTTCGGAGGTCAAGGGCGAAGAGCATTGTCTGGATCTTTTCTCCGAGGAATGCTGGTGTGTTGGGAAATAAACAGACGGATAGACTGACTGATTGATACATGACGCGGCAGACTTTGTTAAGGCGTTTTGCGAACGCGTATACAACAATCTGGAACCGCAAATGGATCATCACAGTCTAATGAGAGTGAGCAACGAGGAGTGACGAGGAGCTTTGGCCGATGCTCGACGCTCAGAGGAAAGGCAAGACGAACATACAATCAGACGGCTACTGATACCGTTGCTACTGGAACTGTGCCCTGGCTCTTGAAGATGTGGACAAAGCGCTTATGGCAATGCCCCGAGTGCTGTGGCATCGGTTCTTGAACCAAATCAAATCATTTTTTAAGGTTTTAACTTGAAGTTCCAACTGTTTTTTGCTAAAGATTCGAACCGTCAAATAAAAGTATATTACTCTATACACAGTGTGATGGTATTCTCTGCTCCGGCCCGTCCCCTGAAAACATGGCGTCGACAGTTGTGGACTGCCGAAAGTTGGCTACGGATGGCAAGCTGGCGTTTTTCAGAATCGGCGTAGTGCCCAGATCTCAAGTCGAAGCCATGTTTGCGAAAGTGATGGCCTACCATAGTGGGGCAGTACCTCCTTCTGTCAGAGCAATCGCTGGAGGACCTCATGAGAATGCCGGGTTTGAGGTAAGACTGCTTTGTGTAAACTTTGTATATATATATATATATATATATATATATATATATATATATATATATATATATATGTGTGTGTGTGTGTGTGTGTGTGTGTGTGTGTGTGTGTGTATATATATATATATATATATATATATATATATATATATATATATATATATATTCTAAAAGACGTGGATTTTTATCATGGTATGGGGCGTCGCAGTTCGACCCAGTCTAAAATTGGTACCAGGATGGCTGTCCTGTGAAAGTAAAGACGGCCGACGTAATGCTGACAACTTTACCCATCCAGTGCCGATTGGTCTGTACAAATATGGGACGCTGTTCCCATATACCCGATGTTCCTAAAGGCGTGAAAAGGGATCTTTACTACTTTTTTTTTTAATTTAAAAAAAAAAAGGTTAGTTGCTCCTCCTTTACAGGATGTTGCAAAACTAACCCAAGCATTTGTTTGGCTGTTGTGTTTTTTCTAGGCAAGTTTACGAACAGCAGTTAGCCATTACCTCTGGACGGTCGGCTTCTTGATACCACTGTCAAAACTAACGCAAGGCGCAAGGCCCACAGCTCTGTTGGAACACTGCACACTGGCATTACGAAGCGTGTTCATAACACCTAAGCCACAGACGCCGACTTGTATATATAGGTTAAAATTAATCGAGGCGAACTAGAGAAAGACTTAAAAATAAGAGAAGTGATCTGACAAGCGCTTGTGTCCAGATATTTCGAAAATACGAAGATGGCAATTGATTGGACCAATCCTGGGAGGGCCCATCCTGAGAGGGCCCATACTGAGAGGGCCCATCCTGAGAGGACCCATCCTGAGAGGACCCATCCTGAGAGGGCCCATCCTGAGAGGACCCATCCTGAGAGGACCCATCCTGAGAGGGCCCATCCTGAGAGGGCCCATCCTGAGAGGACCCATCCTGAGAGGACCCATCCTGAGAGGGCCCATCCTGAGAGGGCCCATCCTGAGAAGAAGCGAATATAGAATCATCAAACAGGCACTGGAAGGGGAAACAAATGGAAGGAAGAAACGAGGACGTCTATGAAAAAGCCTGAGAAAAACGTTGCTGAGAAAGGTGCTGTACTGGACTGTAAATATGATATCGCAAGGATTGCACAGGGTAGAAGGAAATGGAGAAATAGACTAAGAGCTCTTTGTGGCCCTACAAGAAGATGATGATGGTGATAAATATGATATTAGGACAGGTGTGTGTATATGTATGTATATATATATATATGTGTGTGTGTATGTGTATGTGTGTAAGAGCGTTTGCAATCAGGGCCAATAAAAAAATGGAAGAATAATACAAGTATAATCCAGCCACGTAGAGGCGAGCAAGAACAGTTTTTGTGAGACAGCAACTTTATCCTGTAGAAACCTTTAGCTGCAGAATGTAAGAAATCCTTCGCTAATCTACAAAAGTCTTTGGGTGAAATGGCTGGCGAATTGATCAATGCTTCTTAGAAGAAGAAGGACGAAGAAGAAGACTAAGAAGAAACAAACTACACCCCCCCCCCCCCTTCCTCCCACCCAAAAAAGTAGAAGTTAACCATGATGAATTAGTCATATAACTGCCCACATAACTTCTTTCTTGCTCTTTATCCCTCAGTGGAGTTTATATCCTCAACCAGCTCATACCCTCAGTGGAGTTTATATCCTCAACCAGCTCATACCTTCAGTGGGGTTTATATCCTCAACCAGCTCATTCCCTCAGTGGAGTTTATATCCTCAACCAGCTCATTCCCTCAGTGGAGTTTATATCCTCAACCAGCTCATTCCCACAGTGGAGTTTATATCCTCAACCAGCTCATACCAAAAAAAAAAAAGGTAATGTATGGAAATCTGAACCAGCGTCATTTCACACGGTAATAAACCATAAGTGCTCTGCCACCAGTAAGGCAGCTGATATGAAACTGTCCGCCTGTGTCGCCGTTGGCACGCAACTCCGTAGCTACAGCGACCCAAGGAACCGCTCGGTTTCGAACACCGGCCGTGGGCTGCAGCGAATCGCAACTGGATTTGAACGCTAGTCTCCTATCGACTGCGCTAATGCGGCCCCCAAGGTCATACCAAGTCGTCCTATCCTATGTGTTCACATGCAGGTCTGTACACTGGATAACTTTAGATAAAACTGAATAAAGATCAGGAACGTTTGTTATCTTCACAGGTTGAAGACACTGAAAGGCCACCACAAGCCAACGAGGAAGCAAACAGCAACGAAGATGACGAACCAGGCCTCACCACCTTCTCCACGTTCAACAGCAACAACACTTCCCTGGACATGAGCTTCGCGGAATCTGTCGTGGAAGATGATGCTCGTCTAATCAACACCTTGACCAGAAGCAACAAGTCTCCAGTTCCCAAGTCTGACGACTATGAAGATGTCCTGTCCACGCCCAACATGATTTCTGGGCGGGTCAATAAAATTTACGAAACACTGCACCCTTCTCATCCCGGACCGGTAGAGAACTCGGTCTACCAATACTCTAAAGCGAAACACGTCCCCACGAACTTCAAACTTCTTGATTCTGAAGGAGAATCTGGGTCAGATAGAAATTCTTCAGATAGCTCTCCCTACGAGCCGATGGTCCTGATGGCAAATAAATCCGGGGCGCAGCTTGTTAAAGCCTCCAAAGAAATTGGGGGTAAAGTAAACACCCCACATCGCATCTCGTCAGATGATGCCCCTATTTTTAAGATTAGTCCATTTTTTCTGGACTCCATTAATGGCACTAAATTTTAACCTTTTAACATATTTTGTTAAAGGGCAAGGAACGTCTGGTGCGGAACTTAATAGGTTTTCCCCTTTCTTCTTCTTCTTCTTTTATCTACTACTGTAATGCCTCGCCGCATCAGGGTAGGAGGAGATTCCTAGAACGTGATCTTCTATTTGTTTCTGATATTTCGTCGGTCTATTTTCTGCTTGGTCGACCTCTGGGTCTTTTTCCTCCTTTAATCATGTCATATGTATCTATACCTTTTTTTAATGAACAACGAAATCCTTCTCCCCCTTCTAGCGCCACTGCTCAGCTATCGTTTTACGAAGTGCGTGATCAGTCAAGAGAATCGATTTTTTCCCGCCGAGATCTATCCCTCATGGGTGGATTTCACTCCAAAAACGGCTGGGTGTCTGTGAGAGCGTTGCACAAAGCATGAACTCCGTCGCCCAGCTCTCTAGCGTAGTTGGCTAAACCGGATTGCGCGGAGACCGGGTGACAAACTCCTTGAGGTCCGGGTTCAATCCCTGGGGTAGGCAGGAAAGCCACATTTCTCCCAGATTTACGGTATTTAAATGGAATCAAAGCCGAAAGGTTGCGATATCCATAATACCGAGCCTAAGGGTTAACAACTCATGGCTTCTGGATACTAAAACAAAACAAAAACAAATAAACTCCGCCTAACTACCTGGCCCTGAAGAAACTCATTTTTTTATTTTTAAACAATATCAAATCGAATGGTTGATTATGTATCTGAAATGACTTTCATATAAAAGATTCTCTGATTTTCGCATTCAGTGTATATTTCATACCTCCTTTTATGATCGGTATTTCGAATTGGAGCAAAGATAGCTAGTCAGACATTCATTTTTTTTTCATTCGCGTTCACCAGCTGTAAACTCTGGCGGAAAGTTCTGGTTGTCCATCCACGTCTGACTGCAGTCCTGTTCCAGAACCTGAGTGTTGCATGTGCATCCGTTTTACAGATCTGACTCATTTGTATGCAGACTGCTGGTTCCATGCCTCTCAGGCAGATGCACTCCGACTTCGAAGGAGGCTCCCAATTAGTCGACTTTTACGACATGCTTTTGGGTAGGCAGTGGGTCTAATCTTGTTTCCCTCACAATGAGGCCCCGGAACCCACACTGGACGCTAGTCAGACAGACAGACAGCATATGGTTACAAGATGGCAAGCAGACAGACAGACAGCATATGGTTACAAGATGGCAAGCAGACAGACAGACAGCATATGGTTACAAGATGGCAAGCAGACAGACAGACAGCATATGGTTACAAGATGGCAAGCAGACAGACAGACAGCATATGGTTACAGGATGGCAAGCAGACAGACAGACAGCATATGGTTACAAGATGGCAAGCAGACAGACAGACAGCATATGGTTACAGGATGGCAAGCAGACAGACAGACAGCACATGGTTACAAGATGGCAAGCAGACAGACAGACAGCATATGGTTACAAGATGGCAAGCAGACAGACAGACAGACAGCATATGGTTACAAGATGGCAAGCAGACAGACAGACAGCATATGGTTACAAGATGGCAAGCAGACAGACAGACAGCATATGGTTACAGGATGGCAAGCAGACAGACAGACAGCATATGGTTACAAGATGGCAAGCAGACAGACAGACAGCATATGGTTACAGGATGGCAAGCAGACAGACAGACAGCATATGGTTACAAGATGGCAAGCAGACAGACAGACAGCATATGGTTACAGGATAGCAAGCAGACAGACAGACAGCACATGGTTACAAGATGGCAAGCAGACAGACAGACAGCATATGGTTACAAGATGGCAAGCAGACAGACAGACAGCACATGGTTACAAGATGGCAAGCAGACAGACAGACAGCATATGGTTACAAGATGGCAAGCAGACAGACAGACAGCATATGGTTACAAGATGGCAAGCAGACAGACAGACAGCATATGGTTACAAGATGGCAAGCAGACAGACAGACAGCATATGGTTACAGGATGGCAAGCAGACAGACAGACAGCATATGGTTACAAGATGGCAAGCAGACATACATACAGACAGACAGACAGACAGACAGACAGACAGACAGACAGACAGACAGACAGACAGACAGACAGACAGACAGACAGACAGACAGACAGACAGACAGACAGACAGACAGACAGAGACAGACAGACAGACAGACAGACAGACAGACAGACAGACAGACAGACAGACAGACAGACAGACAGACAGACAGACAGACAGACAGACAGACAGACAGACAGACAGACAGACAGACAGACAGACAGACAGACAGACAGACAGACAGACAGACAGACAAAGAAAACATGGATAAAATTAAACAAATACATTTTGTTGTACTTTATTATACGTTGATGTAACTCTGCAGAAATGCATTTGAGATGAATTAAAGATGCCAGGCAATGAATTGTGCAATGTTTGATTTGTATCCACATTATTTAGATTGCTATAAAGCATGTGCATACCTTCACCATGCTACCTGCGCCACATTTTGACGCTATTAAAATACCTACGTATGAAAAATCAACACTTGTGAACGTAGATGGCTTTGGAAAATCGCTAAATAAAAGCTAATGCATAACGAAAAAGACTTCAGAACAACACCCTGTGCCAAATATATTGAGATCTCATACTTTGTGTATGCACAATGCAGCAATACGACTTAACAACAAAGACACTGCACCAGTGTTGCCACTTTTCTTTGACAAAAAACATCCAAAACGGAGTCAAAAAATATCTAAAAACATCTAAATTTGCGTGGAAAACATGTAGAAAAAACATCCAAATGGAAAGAGTCACAAATTACATAGCAATTGATATGACTTACCCTATAGAATCATGTCCTCATCTTTACTGAAATCTGCCTCACAAGATCCACAGGATAAACTTAGCTTGGATGATGAAGTTGAAGCTTTAGATCCAAAATGACTCTCGTATGCTTTAGCTGTTCCAATTTCTTTTAATTCTCAATCAGGGAGCTGGTGAATGGAACAGCCTTTTCCTACTCCAGTCAGGCCGAATTTTATTGTCGAGATAGGATTTAAGAGGTCAAATTGCATCCTGTTTCTTAGGTTAGATTTGATAAATTCACTCCAAATGAAAAACTCTAGAAAAATATCTACCATCTAAACGTCAAAAACGCCATCTAAATGCGAGGGAAAACATCTAAATCTGGATGTAAAACATCCAAAGTGGCAACACTGCACTGCACCTAAGAACATATGCGAGAGAAAGATGGTATCCAGAAAAGAAAACAGATTGATCATCACCAAGTGCCTTACTGACTGGCGGGAACGTCCTGCCTCTCTGTGACGAATTGACCTCAGTGGTCTCAGAAGTTATATTGTGTTTAATAATTTCTTATGTTCAGAGAAGGACAAAGAATTATAAGCAATATACATTGAGCCTAAAATAGTTCTAAAACCACTACAAGGGATTTGAGAATTGTTTAAACTTTGTTTTCAGTCCCTCGCCAGACAAAGCAACCTTGCTTTATGTAATGTTACCTAATACTACTGTAGCTAGAGATTCACCAGCCCGGGTCATATTATTATCTCCTGCCCAGTCTGTAGAGGCAAGTAAAGAGGGAGATAACGTAGTATCACACCTGAGAGTAGCTCCCCTGAACCCGACCTTAGTGTCATAAAAGTTACATAACACAGACTGAGTGGGGCCGTTTGATCAGACTAGATCATGGGAATTAAGTGGTCTGGTAGACATTTCTAGACAGCGTCTGAAGCTTCACACATGATAGTGAAATTCTCAGGAGAACAGGTGTTTGGCAATTAGGAATGTCTGATCTTGGTCAAGGTCGTACTGTAGGCCGTTCACTGTGAGTGACAGGCCCATTGATAGCTATGTTGATCTGCAAGGTACCTCAGGGGCGTGGCTTAGGGCATCTCCTGAAGGGTTGGGTAGAACCTAGTAAAGGGAGGAGTTAAACCTTGCAGACAGATAGATAGTATACCTTGAGCCTTGGTAGTTCATGTCATTCACATTGCAGCCTGCCGGCAAACATACACAGGTCGACGTAAAGGTAATTTTACAGTCTGATTCTGGTTTGGCAATTGATTGAAGGTTCCCAGCTCCCATGTGGGTGTCGATCAGTCTTTTCTAAGAACCGAAATAGAGGGTCATCACGGTCACGAGACTACATTGTGTTAGAACTCGGCCAGCTGGGAAACAGGTGGGAACCAGGTGGGAACCAGGTGGAAGGACCAGGAGAACTGGGCGGAAAGGTTGGAACCGCTAAGAAGGGACTCAACACGAGGACTCGCAAAGGTTCCACCTTCTAAAAGACGTTAAGTTACGTATCATGTATTTATGTAACTAAACACCACCATTATCACTTCATTCTAATCTTAGGTGCTCACTTAGCTGAAGCATCTCATTACCACCATACCATCACTATTGACTAAAAATATAAATAATCAAAAAGATTGCTAGGTTAGTAAATCAAGTATATGGTCTTATCCTGCATCAGTTTTTGTAATTCCAAGTGTGTCGGTTCTTACATGTTTAATAAAAACTGTTAATATAGAATAGCATTTGGTGGGAGCTCATTAAATAATGCTAATTTTTTTTCCAAGAGAAGGTCGACGGATTGGGTCAACTGCCCTGTCTAGTAAATCATTCAAAATAATAATATATAGACATCTAAAACCCATTTCCTTCTCTTGTGGGTACCAAGTTCAGCTAAAGTTAATATAAATAACGAGCCAATATGGCTGTTTTCTTGGATATCCAGGACTTTGTCTGAGAGCAACATAGCCCGGATAATAGTTCAGTTAATCTGGTGGAGGGGATGTGTTGAGAGGAAAATCCCTACTCAACATTTAAATCATTTAAACCCAAATCCAGAGAACCCACGACCCGGGACGTCACACTAAAAGTGTTGTAATCTCAAGGGAAGTGGGCCGGAACGTCACACTCTCCACAATCTGCGCTCTTGAACAGCATTTATCAGTTCGTGTGTTGACACCCGTCCAAGTCATG